TCTTATACAAATCCTGTTGCTGTACAAAGTTTCAACCTTTTTTTTTTTTTTTAAAGATATGGTCTCATATAACCCAGGCTGGCCTTGAACTCCTGATCCTCCTATCTTCACTTTTCAAGTGCTGAGATTATAGGTGTCACCATACCTGGCCCCCAACAGCTCTATATTGAAGGAGACACAAACTTGCTAGGGGTTAGGGTGCAGGGGCTAGGGCACATTTGAGTATCGGTAGGGATGTGCTCAGATACTTTTGAGTTCTTCCTGTAGAAAATACCTAGGTGTGGTACCAAGATCCTTGATCTCCCCAAAGGACTCTACCATGCCATGTCTCCCCAGACTTCCTGTGCTGAAACAAACCCTCATAGCCATGGTAAATGGTTAGAAGGTGGGGCTTATCAGAGCCAATTTGAGTATAAGGGTGGAGCCTTCATGAGTAGGATCTGTAATCTTACCAAGGAGACCCGCCAGGATCCCACATAGAGAATCCTGGTCTTAGACTCCTGGTCTCCAGAACTATGAAGGATTAATGTATCGTTCCTGGTCCCCCAGCCATCTGAGCTGCTAGAGAAGCCCAGAGGGGAAGAGAGGAAGGGCTGATCTGTATGTATATGGTCCAGAAAGCAGAGGCAGCTCAGAGCAGAACAAAGGGACACAGGCTAGGCCAAGCCAGGCACAGTGGTATCTATCTGCCTATAATCCCAGAATTTAGGAAACAGGCAGCCTGGGCTACCCACAAAGATCCTGCCTCAAAAACAAACAACAACAAAAGGTAATGGCCACCAAGAGATGAACTAGTGGTCAAAAGCACTTGCATTCAAACACAACCCTAACAACCCTCCTTTGATCCCTGAAGCTGCTGGTTGAAGGAGAACCAACTCCGAAATCATGGCATGTGCAGGCACAGACACACATACACACACACACACACACACACTCTCATATTCTCCCTCTCTCTCAACTCCAAAATCATGCCACGTACTGGCCTAAACATACACACATTCATATTCTCTCTTCTCTCTCCTCTCTCTCTCTCTCTCTCTCTCTCTCTCTCTCTCTCACACACACACACACACACACACACACACACGTTAGTGCATAGGTCCACAGTGACACAATTTTTAAAGCAGAGGGGACTCTAAGATTGCCAACTAACACACAGAAAATGAAATAGTCACCAGCCCTGGGCAACCTCATTGTCTCTGCTGAAAGAGAAAGGTTCTTGGCCAGGGGGTGGTGGCGCACACCTTTAATCCCAGCACTTGGGAGGCAGAGGCAGGCAGATCTCTGTGAGTTTGAGGCTAGCCTGGTCTACAAAGAGAGTTCCGGGACAGACAGGGCTATACAGAGAAACCCTGTCTAAAAAAAAAAAAAAAAAAAAAAAGATAGAACTTTGGGGCTGGAGAGATGGCTCAATTGTTAAGAGCACTGACTGCTCTTCCAAAGGACCCAGGGTTCAATTCCTAGGACCCACATGGGAGCTCACAACTGTCTATGATTACAGTTCCAGAGTACCCAATACCCATGGCAAAACACCTATACACATGAAAATAAAAATTAAGAACAGAGAGGGAGAGAGAGGGAGAGAGAGAGAGAGAGAGAGAGAGAGAGAGAGAGAGAGAGAGAGATCCCTCCCCCAGTGGGATGCTCCAGAATAGGCCATCATCTGCCACCATCACCAGGACTCCTGGCTGTGGGCGTGTCACAGCCCACACTATTCCTCCCAGAGACTTCCAGCTGCAGCTGACCCAGGAAATGATAGATCCACCCAGATCTCAGCACTGACCAAACCTGTCCTGGCTGAGGGGCAGGAAGAAAAAGGTGAGAGACTGTGTCAGAGATGCCTGTAGCATAAGAAACTACAGCTCTAGCTGAGCACTGGTGGTGCACCTTTAATCCCAGGAGGATCTCTGTAAGTTCGAGGCCAGTCTGGTCTACAGAGCAAGCTCCAGGACAGGCTCCAAAGCTACAGAGAAACCCGGTCTCGAAAACCAAGGAAAACCAAGAAAAAGGAAAAGGAAACAAAAGACGACTCTAACTGGTCCTAGAGGCAGGAGATTTTCTTTTCTTTCTTTCTTTCCTGTTTTTGATTTTGGACAGGGTCTTCTGCAGCCCACAGCCTCCTTGAACCCCCATCCTCCTCCGAGTGCTGGGGCTACAGGTATCACCACCGAACCTAATATGCTGGTTAGAGACAAAAGCCAGGGTCATCTAGGAAGAGGGAGCCTCAATTCAGAAAACACCTCCATTAGACTGGCCTGTAGGCAAATTTGTGGGACATTTTCTGGATTCCTGGTTGATATAAGAGGGGGTGCCCAGCCCACTGTGGGTGATGCTATCCTTGGGCAGGTCCTAGATCATATAAAAAAGCAGGCTGAGTAAACCATGGAAAGCAAGCCAGGAAGCCGTGTTCCTCGATGGCCTCCGCTTCAGTTCCTGCCTGCAGGTTTCTACCTTGGACTCCCAAAATGACAAACAGATGAAATAAACCTTTTTGTCCCTAAGTTCTCTTTGGTTGCGGTGCTTACCACAGCCAGCCACAGGACGCAAACTGGGCCACCTCGCTGCTCTTTCCTGTTTGACACTGCGTCCTACGAAGCTCATTTCTTCACCTTGGTATTTTGCTAATATCAGATGGAAAATGGCAGAAAGTGAGTCCCTCAGTATCTTGACTGCAGGCCAGGCCACCTCCAGTGACCACGGAGTTGGCGGGCGCTGGGTCACCGTTCGGCTGGTTGATTGGTGATCTGGGACAAAGTAAGGGTCAGGGTAATAGTGATGGCCCTGCAGCCCTGCAGGCTGTACACATGGCTGCCCAGACTGGCCTCCAGCCTGTGGCCGTGACTGCTCTTACAGAAGAAGCTTCCAGTCACTGGCCACCCCGACACTTCTGTTCCTTCTAGGCCTGCTCAGCTCCTCAGCCTACTGGGTTTAAGGTGGGGAAGGTAGAAGCCTCACAGCTTCCTGTGTCCTGGAGCGTTTTTTAATAGCTACATAGGGCATGCCTCAGACTGGGTGTCAGCACTGTCCTTGTCCCCAGAGAGAAGTCCTCGCACTCGGGGGAGAGGGGCAGCTGCGAGTTTCTGGGCTGCTACTTACTTTCTGATGGGTTAGCACAAGAACGGTGTTTACAGATTGTGCCAACAACCATAGGTTAGGCATGGTGGTGCATGCATGCCTTTAATCCCAGCACTCAGGAGACAGAGGCAGGTGGAGCTCTGTGAGTTCGAGGCCAGCCGGGCCTACAGATCAAGTCCCAGGAAAGCCAAGCTACACAGGGAAAACCTGTCTTGAAAAAACAACAAAACAAAACAAAAAAAAAACAAAAGTGTTCCAAATCACGAGCTTGTGCAGAGGGCACAGGGTGCACACTGTTCTTTTCTAGCAACCGTTCTGGAAGCTTCAAAAATAAGATGGTAGGGTACACCTTAGGGTTGTCACAAATTCAGAAGCTTAAAGCAGTCCATCCAAATTCGAGCCGTCTTCAGGACAGGAATTAGTGCACTTCACTGGCTCCTGGGAACCAGACTCTGGATTTTCTTTTGGAATTCAGGATCTGTGTGTGTGTGTGTGTGTGTGTGTGTGTGTGTGTAGTCATCCTCAGGTGCCTGCCACACTTCCTGTTGTGTTGATGGTTTTGCAGATTGAACCTCAGAATCTGTGTGTGTGTGTAGTGATCCTCAGGTGCCTGCCACACTTCCTGTTGTGTTGATGGTTTTGCAGATTGAACCTCAGGATCTGTGTGTGTGTGTGTGTGTGTGTGTGTGTGTGTGTGTGTGTGTGTGTGTGTGATACGTACGTGTGTCTGAGGAGGCTAGAAGAGAACACAGGATCCTCTAGTGCTATAGGTGGTTGTGGCCCACCTGACATGAGGGATGGTCGCTAAATTCTAGTCTTATGGAAGGAAGATCAGGAAGTGCTAACCGCTGAGTCATCTCTCCAAAGTCCTGGAATCAGTTTTTATTTATGTGTATGTACATATGTCTGTGTGTACATACCACGTGTGTGTGTATCTGGAAGTCAGAAGAAGGAATCAGAACCCTGGAACTGTAATGACAGATGGTTATGAACAACCCACACGGGTGCTGGACACTGAATTCTGCTTCCCCTTAAGACTACCAAGCACTCGCTTCTGGTCCTTAACATGCTCACCCTCCTGCTCCTGCCTGGCCTCTGTAGCCAGGGAAACCTCCACCCACTAGGTACCAGCTCTGGGCCCAGTCTCTGGGGACTGCAGTGGGCTTGCAGTTTTTGTAGCCCAGGGGACACAGCACCTTGGCCCCCTGGCCACTCCCACCCTTCCTCCTTCACTCCTTCCCACCCCCTCACAGTGCCAGTCAGCCCTCTATCCCTAACCCATAGGCACCTGAAGAGTCTGAGGTGGGACCCTGAACAAGACAGAAGTGCGAGTCTGAGAACCCTTCACCCTGGTGCCCTCACTCCCGCCTGGCATACACAGAGCCTCGTCACCAGTTAGCCTCAGAGTTCCCGGGCCCCGTTTCTCCTGGGTTCTGTTCCCCCAGATCTTGTTTTACTAAGCTCTGTATCCTAGGGCCTTTCTGTACACTGACCAACTTCACCACGTGGCAGGGCCAATGTGAGGTATGGACCACCTTACCAGACACCCACTAGCACAGGTCCACCACCTTGGGGAAATTCTTCTTATGTACCCATACTCCTGGAGATCTCCTGGAAACCCCCTCCACTTTTCAGAAGTGGAGCTAGCCCAGAACAGGCTCACTGTGGGCTCTAGGCCTTGTGGGGGAAGCTAAGGCGGTATGGGACAGCGCTAGTGCTGGGTGAACAGGCCTGCCTCCATAAGCCCACTGAGGACCCACCCACCCAGCAGGCGGCTAGGCTGTGCGGAGAGCTGGGGAATAAAGGTGGATCTCCCTGTTTGTAGCAGCCCCTCCCTTCATACCTAGTACAGTCAGACTAGGTGGCTATACCCTGGCCCCAGGGGCCCGCCTTCCCCCCAGTTCCCACATGCACAGGCGGCTACAGGCTTTTTTCGCTTATTTATTGAAAACAAACATCTGTGCGCTATATACAAGATCCCGCTCCCAGGTGGGTGGCGGGAAGGGCCAAGCTGGATGAGAGAGCAAAGGCAGCTTGAGGGGACAGGGAGGGAGCAGTGGCCCCTCGCCTGGCCAGCAAGCCCAGCTTCTCCATTCCTGCTCTTCCACCAGGCCTGAGACAACCACACGCATGGCTTCCCGTGGGTGGCCTACCTTCTTCACAACAGCAGAGCGAGGGAGGCTCTTAAAGCAAAGTAAGTAGGCAAGCTGCCCAGCCCCCTCCTGCAGTCAGGGATGTCCAAGAAAAGACATCTGTGCAAGATGCTGGCCTGGGTAGACTCGGGGCCGCTGCAGAGAAGGGTCACAGGATGCCTGGGGCAGCCCATGTCACCCCGGGAAGGTGGATGGTGCCGGGTAGGGTAAGGGGCTGGGCCAAGACCCAAGGCTTTAAGGCAAAGCAGGGTGAGGGTATGTGCAGCCCAGGGCCAGGCCAGCCTTTGGCACAATTCGGGGAGGGCGGCCAGAGTGACCGCAGGACGAGGCAAGGATGGTGGTAGCTGGGAGGAGGGCGGGAGCCCTTTGGTCCTGAACCTGCCTTTCCAGGGCCTGGCGTGTGTGACGACAGCCACCACCTGACTTCTGCCCCCCACAGGTGCATCCCTGACTTGGTTCTTGATGGTCAGCAGAGCGTGTCCGTGTTGAAGGAGAGCTGGGCCTGGTGAGGAGCAGACAGTGGGGGCTGAGGATGTTCACACCGGACCTTACCACTGGCTGGTATCGGCACTCCCGAGTACTCTCTCCCCACTAAGCACGCTTCAGCGTCTGGCCCTCTTGCCCAGTGTGGTAGCCACAGTCTAGATTGCTCCCTAGTCTCTGGTTTCTTTAATCCCCACCTTGATCTGGGGTCTTCAAAGCTGCCAGTGTGTTCTGGGTTCTACCCACCCTGGTTTCCCTGTGTCCACTCAAGCCCTCGGCACACATGAGTCCCCCTCTGTTCTGAATCTAAACTTCAGCCAGTTCTCTCGCTTAGGTCCTTCAGCCTCAGTCTCTGGGCAGTGTGAGCAGGCGTGCAGCTGGGAGGATGCTGACCACTCACCCGCTCTTCCTCAAAGCTGATGAGGCCCTCATCCTCTGTGTCCAGGTCCTCAGGCTCATCAGCCACCAGTGCCCGGAGCTCCGTGGGTGTAGAGCGGGGCCTCAGCAGGCTGAGGAGTCCAAGGGGGGACGGCAAGGTCGAGGGTTCAGCCTCTTGCTGCTCCACGTTGTCACTCTGCTTCTTGGCAAAGTTCACAAACACCTGTGGACAGGTGGTGGTGGGCTACGTGGTACGGGCCAATCCAGGAAGACACACCCCACCCCACGTGGCACACTCACATTGTCCAGGGTGGTCTGGCTGACAGAGTAGTCCTCAATGCCCAGCACACCCACTACCTGCTCCATCTTGCTGAACACCTGAGCCAGGGAGATGTGCTCTGACTTGAGCTGGTACTGCACCTTCGTGTGATGCCGTTCCTGGGAGATCAGGGGACCAAGGAGGTCAGCGGCTGCCGGAATGGGGCTCGCCCTCACCCTCCCCTCACCCGACCACACCCACCTTGAGCATGGCCTCTGGGAAGTTCCGGTTGAAGAACCGCACCACGTCCTTCACATTCTGGCTGCTTTTGGTCCTCACAGTGATCATGTAGCCATCCCCAAACCTGGTGGGACACAGGGGTGACCAGGGGCCCTGTGCACCCAGCAGAGCTCGCCCTGTCTCCTGCAGCCCGGGCTGACTCACCTATTCTTGAGGTGCTGGATGCTGCCCAGGCAGCGCAATCGTCCGTTCACCATGATGGCCAGCCGCGTGCACAGAGCCTCACACTCCTCCATGCTGTGGGCAGACAGCACAGGCTGGCACCAGAGGGACTGCCAGAGGACCACGGAGGGGTCGGGGAGAGGCACACCTGTGTGATGTCAGCACCACTGAGCGTCCTGTCTTGATGAGGTCCAGAATGAGGTTCCACAGGAAGCGCCTGGCCTTAGGGTCCATGCCAGTAGTGGGCTCATCCTAGGGCAGGGGTCAGTTCATCCAGAGATGCAGCCCACCTAGACTGGTTCTACCCGTCTCTGCCTGGCTCACCAGGAAGCGGAGGAAGGTGGGGCATCTTCCCCTCAAACTCACGGAAAGACCAAACGGGGTAGCTGTCTCCCAAACGCCCCCAGACTTACCAGGAAGATGAAGGCAGGGTACCCGATGAGTGCAATGGCTGTGGATAGCTTCCGCTTGTTGCCACCACTGTAGGTGCCAGCTGGCTTGTCTGCATACTTTGTCAGTTCCAGCTTCTCCAGGGCCCACTTCACCACCTAGCGGGGCCAGTATGAGATATGGGCTTCACCTTACCCACCAGCATAGGCCCACCAGCTACACATACCCACCACGGACACGCCACTGCACCCACCACGGCCATGCCACGGCACCCACCACCCACACATACCCACCACGGACACGCCACTGCACTCGCCAGTGACTTTCCTCCCATCCTACCTTTGCTTCATCCTTCCAGGGGATGCCACGCAGCCGTGTGTACAGCTGTAGGTGTTCCCGAGCTGTGAGCTCGTCAAACAGGGCATCGAACTGCGGGCAGTAGCCGAGGCTCTGCTGCACCTGAAGCAGGTCCTTGAGCACACTAGGGACAGAGGGCAATCAATACCCAGGAGGGACATATCCACCCCACACCTGCCCTCCCCTACCCTGGAGACACAGTCATCCCACTCCTACACACACACACACACACACACACACACACACGCACGCACGCCTTTGCACCTGAGGGGCAGGGTCATCCATGCAACCCCCTGGCTGTGCGCCTATGGGTGGCCACTCAACCCCTAACCAGCAGCTGTGTACCTGGAAGCTGTTACACAGACACACACACACACACACACACACATCCACGCCTCCCTACAGTGTGTCTGAGGGGCACAGCAACCCCACCTGTGTCCATTGACAAAGGCCTCGCCCCCTGTCGTGCTCTCGTCACCGGTCAGCATCTTGAAGGTGCTGGTCTTCCCTGCTCCATTGACACCGAGGAGCCCAAAGCATTCTCCAGGGCGCACACCCAGGCACAGGCGGTCCACTGCCAGGATACGGCCAATCTTCCGAGACTTGTACACCTGCCCAAAGAGCCTTACCCCTCAGCAAAGGACGGGCGGGGCTCTGGCCTGGCCCCACCCGCCCCATTCCCCATCTACTTTCCCACAGCCCGGAGCCTACCTTGGTCAGGTTCTCAATCTTGACCATGTCGTTGTCGGCATCCCCACGGAGCACTCTCTGCCGCTCACTGGCCACATCCACGTCATCCTCCACAGGTTTAGTAGACACAGGCAGGCGTCTAGGGGCAGTACAGTGGGCAGGGCCTGGCCAATCCGCCCACCCCTACCATGGATCCCTCCATTGCCCAACACTCCCCACTCACTGTGGCTGCCGCAGGAAGTTATACTGGCACATGATTGTGAGGAAGAATCCCACGAAGCCCTCAACTGTCATGGCCACCAGTCCACGTGTGACAATGTCCCACTCAAATGGTGACTTCATCTTGTCAAACTGGCCTGTGGAACAGCTGGTTCAGGGCCTGAGAGCCTCAGGAAGAGCCCAGTCATCCCCAGCATTGGAACTCGCCGGGTCTAGGACTAGGCATGCCCCCCTGAAGGCCTCCCTTGTTCCCAGCGCCGGACTCACCGATCTTGGCATAGTATTCGTTGATGTACTCGTTGTAGGCCATCTCCATGAGTCCGTGGCCCAGGTTGTAGTTGGGGAAGATGAGGAAGCAACTTTTCAGGTAGCTGTTGACAACCTTCAGATCCTGGGGGCCAGACACAGCTCAGTATCGCCACCCCAGGCCACGCCCTGCGGCTCAGCCACCCCACATTTACCTTGTCATGCTCAAAGAGCTGCAGAAGGAAGGTGGCCACAGTGGCTGTGATGCCGATGAAAAGGTTGATGACGATGAGGAACACATAGGCTGAGCTGGGGACCTCAAACCAGAAGGAGGCTGGGTACATGATGGGTGTGATGGACCACCTGTGGGCAAACAGCAGTAGTCACAGGGTGCCCCTGCCACACCCATGCCTGCTCCACACCCTTCCCCAGCTTACCCATAGAGCAGGAACAGGGAGAGCACCGCTGGGAAGTTGGTGGGCGATGTGTAAGCCGGGAGGTCAAACACAAAGAGGATGATGACACAGCAGGTGGCCGGGACCAGGTAATTGAGCTGCAATGGCAAAGGCAGATGGTGAGACCTGGGTAAGGGGACAGGAGACAGGGGCGGGAAGGGACCATGCGGGGCACACCATGTCCCACACGTAGTTGGCTAGCCAGTAGATGACAGGGTTGCACCCGCTGACGAACTGCAAGTGCTTGGCCTTAGTGGATTTTTCTGCCACCAGGAAGACCACGAAACTGGCTGGCACGAAGGACATGGCCACGATGATAAAGATGGCGATGACCACGTCTGTGCCCTGCAGCCTAGAAGAGGAATGGCAATTCTAGGGGGTTGTCAGGACCCCAGGGGGCCCTGCCCCTCCCCCAGCTCCATCTGCCTCACTTACAGGTAATCCAGGGAGAGGCTAGCACTGGTCTTGTTCATGGGGTGGTTGGTGACGGTGATGCCTGCACATAGGAAGGGAGGGCAGCATTAGCCCAGGCACTGTTCTGGCTCAGCCGCACCCCCTCCCCATCCCCTCAACCCTGACTCTCCTCACCGTAGGCTGCTGGGTTTCCCTTGTTCTTGGGCAAGTTTGCACGCAGGATGGCATTGTTGAGGCTGTTGAGGTAGGTGGGCATGCTGTGGTAGCCCTTGTTATTGTAGAGCACCTGGAGAATGGCAAGGGACTCAGAGAAGCTCACAAGCCTGAGAGTCCCTGTGCATAGGGCCAGGTGCCACTGAACCCAGGGAAGCAATTTACCTGGGCCACCCTTCGCACTGCGATCTTCCGCACCATAGGGGGGGCCCGGGCACCAAAGGAGGCTGGGATGGACTTCTGGACATTGCCAAAGGTAATGGCTCCATATCTGCACAAGACAAGATGGAGGGACAATGAGACTAGGCAGCCATCAGCCAGCCACCCCCTCGATCGTAGCCACACCGGGCCAACTCACCGGTGTAGCCGGAAACGGTCAGATGTGAAGAGCAGGTACTCAGAGACATTGTGGCCGGTGATGTCGGTCAGGATGTCGCCTGTGACTACTCTCATCTGGGGCGGATGCCCACCCACACTGCTGGGGCAAGAGAAGCCTGTGCCCTGTGTAGAGCAGGTACAGCGGACAGGCTCACGCACGAGGCGTGGCAGAGAAGGGGCCGATGTCCATGTCTCTGTGGGCACAGCGCAGCACAGTGAGATGGGGTCCTCACGGCCATGACCCCAGCAGCCTTCCAGGAGATACTACCTGGTCCACTGGTAGGCGGCAGGGAGGTGTTCCAGGCCTGGAGTGAGTCCTCATCCGGGGACACGGGTGAGTCGGAAGGGGCGGGTGAGGGTGGGGGTGGCACAAAGTTGGAGAGCGGCAGTCCCTGTGTGAAGGACTCCAGGCACATGCTGTCGAAGAACCGTGCGGCCAGCAGGCGGGACTCTCCACTGCTAAGGTTCAGCATGGGCCCCAGGGAGCCGTTGGCAGGAGACTTGAGCACACAAGTGGCACCCACACCAGAGGGTAGCCGAAACGTGCTCACCAACTGCTGGGGGCTAGCATCAGGTGACAGCCGTAATCTAAGGGCACAGAGGTATGTTAGAGGCTCTGTGTCTCAACTCTTGTTCTCCCCTGTGCTACAGCCCCAGCCCATGGCCTCACCGGTACTCCCTGCGTTCCTCATTAGCATAGGGGATGAAGTTGCCACGGGGCTGGGTGTAGTTGTGGTACTGAGAAGGTGACAGGACCAGTGGAGGCAGGTCGCCTGGTGGGTGAACATGAGACCTGAGTAGGCTCCGACTACCTGATGGAGCTCCCAGATCTCCCTTCCCCCTTCCCAACACAGAGAGGACCAAGCTTCGCGGGTATGACTCTCCCATGAGCCCCTGAATAAGGTTGAGTATGGGGAGAGGGGTGGAGAAGTATTCTCTAGGAGACTGGGAAGAAAATGAAACCAAGAACCCAAGGGCCAGATGGTAGCCTTGCCCCACCCCACGAGGTCAGGCAGCCATACCGATCTCAGGGACAGACAATGCTACGGTCATGGCCACACAGACAAAGAAGGCAGGCAGCAGAATCTGAGAGCAGAGAGCTTTCGAGTTTCGGCGAGCACAGTGGAAGCGTTTCACCAGGAGCCCGTGGAACTGCCGCATCTTCAGCCACCAGCCCTCCAGCTTGTGGCTTCCCTGGCCTACCCGAGCCAGGGCCTCCATTTCGGCCTCTGTGCAGAGAGGCGGGGGTGAGCAGCCAGTACCACATCACCCTTCTGGACCCTCCCCAGTCTCCCCAGCAGCTTCCACCTTGTAAGCTGACATTGTCTGGGTCCTGCAAGTTGTCAAAGAGGGGACGGTAGTCACCGTAGACATCGGCGTAGCCAGTGCCCTCCTCACCGCGGGTAGAGCCCACAGAGGATGCAGACAGCAGCGATGCCTGTGACTGGGCTAGCTCTGAGCACCGAGCCAGGTTGCCAGCTTGACCCTCCACAGTTGTCAGGCCCTCTGCCCCAGGCAGCACATCCTTCCGGGATTCCTTCACATCTGCAAAGAACAGAGGCAGGGAGGGAGCGCTTGGAGCCATGGTACCCCAGGACAGCTTAGTACCTCAGTCCCTAGTGCCCACCCAGAACCCCAGGCCCTGACTTGATCCCAGCTTCCAGTTAATATAGCTATTCAAGACCTGTGGCTACTACATCCACCATGAGCCTTTATCGATTCTGGGGACTCCCACTTCCAGAGACTGTCCCCAGGGGCCCTCTGTGGGCTGATCAGGCTGATTGTTAGCCTTGGGCATTCTTACCAGCCTCACTGTTCTCCAGGGACTGGTCCTCCTCAGACACCTTGAGGAACACTTCCTCCAGGGTTGTATCCATCAGCCCAAAACTGCTCAGATGCAATGCATCCAGGCTGTGCTCCAGTTGCTGTAAAGAAGCTGGGTGAGGCTGGCGCCATGGAATGCAGGCAGGGGTGTGCTCATCTTTTCTGTGGGAACACTCTGTCCCCACAACCATGTTTAGCCCTCTCACCTGGAAGAGGCGCTCGAAGGCCCCCTTCTTGACAGCCTCACTGGGCAGGATGTAGGAGAGTTCTGTGCTCGTGTCTGAGACCAGCAGGGAAGAGGCCACATGCTTACGGATGAACTGGGACACCTGGGGCTCCGAGCAGCTGCTCAGCTGAGCACGACCTGGGGGGCTGGAGACCAGCCCTGGCTCTGGGAAAGGAGGAGGAGTAGAAGGGGATTCACTGGGGGCGTGGCTGTGGGAGGAGGAACGTCAGTGAGAACCTAGCAGGCAAGCCAAGATGGGGTTTAGAGGTATTCAAATCCACCAGGTCCTGATGGAGGGATGGTAAGGAGGTACCTCTCCTAGGCTGGGAGTCGTGGGGCAGGGAGGACCACAGGCTAGCTCAAGTCGTCTTGGTACAGACCTTGGGAGGTGCCAGGCTCTGCAGGCCGCTTGACCAACGTGAGGCGGTACCCATCACCGTAGGCACCCTTGAGAAAGAGGGGAGAGCCGCAGCACTTGAGCTTGCCGTGGGAGATGATGGCAATTCGGTCCCCCAGCAGGTCGGCCTCATCCATGTGGTGGGTGGACAGGAGGATGGTGCGGCCTGGGGTAGCCAGATCCAAGGTAAGGGGAGCATAAGAGGACAGGTAAAGACACCCACTCAGGCAACGGCAAGCCTGGCATCCCGCTCACCTGGCTTGTACTTCAGGATGAGGTCCCAGATGGCACGGCGGGCATAGGGGTCCACGCCGGCGGTGGGCTCATCCAAGATAATGGCCCTGGAGCCACCCACAAAGGCAATGGCCACCGAGAGCTTGCGCTTCATGCCTCCAGACAGCGTCTGCACCAGGGAGTGCCGTTTATTGGAGAGCTCCAAGTCCTCAATCATCCTATGGGTCCAAAAGGAGGACGATGGACAGATGGGAGGGTGACGGGCGGGCAGGGGTGTTTGATTTATGGGAGGGGGTGGACAGAAGAACGAGGCACATGAACAGGATGGCCAGCAGAGAGGAGGGCAGTGGTGGGAGGGTGATATCAACGGGCTGGACACAGGAACGTGTAAAGCTCCCACCTCACCTCATCCCCACCCCTCCCGCTGACTTCCACGTCCGAGGGTCCACATCCCAATCACACTGTGCCCTGTCTGTCCCCGCCCCGGCATGCTGCACCCACTTGTCCATCTCTTTGCGGATCTCCCCTTGCGCCATGCTCTTGAGGCGTGAGTAGAACCAGAGGTGTTCCTCCACAGTGAGTCGGTCGAAGAGCACATTGTGCTGCGGGCACATGCCCAGGTTCTTGCGGATCTCATCCATCTCTGTGCGGATGTCGTGCCCATAGATAGTGGCTGAGCCCGACGTGGGTGGGAACAGTCCAGTCAGGATAGACCTGGAGCAGGGGCAAACGGGGTCACAACCCACCAGACCCTGAGGGAACCATATCCTCCTGTGAGCTAAGCCCTCCTGAACCCTAGATACTCACATGGTAGTGGTCTTGCCAGCCCCGTTATGGCCTAGGAACGAGACCACCTGGTTCTCATAGAGATTGAGGCTCAGTTTGTTTAAGGCCAGCTTCTTGTCGTTCTTGTAGACCTTGGTGAGCTTGTCCACACAGACGACCAAGGGCAGGTGGGTGGGCTCCTCCTCCATACCGCGCGTCTCCTCTGTACCAGGGCTGGGTCAGCAGGACGGGGGGCAGCACTAAGGCCACCCCAGGCCCCCAAACCCAGTGCCCACCCCATTCAACATTCTGACCCTGGCCTCACCAAAGTGCCGGCTCTCCATGGCACAGGCTTGGTCTTCCTCCATAACGCTGAGGCGTGGTGTGTGCGCCCATGGCCAGTTCCACTCCCAGGCCTCTGTCCGTCCACTGCCCAGCCAATAGGACTTCTGCAGTGGGAAGTACCAGGGCCGGGGCAGCCCATACATGCCTGGGGGTCCAGGATGGGAGAGGCTGACTGAGGGCCTGGAGGTGACTATCTACCGCAAAGGCCAAATGCCACCAAGAGGAAGGCAGAAGCCCAGTGACCTTCTCCCACCCCTGGTCCCTCCATTGATGGGCGTGTACCTGGGTGCACAGCCTCAATGTACCAGGTTAGGACGCCGTAGACCACTGTATCCACCATAAGCATGGTGACAGCAAGGAGCAGGTTGAAGTCATCCCCTTCCACTGGGGACTGGCTGAATGTATGCCACTGGATACCCACACCTGCCACCTCATACAGCGCAAAGTACTTGGAGCCCAGGCCAAAGGCTGTTGTGGACATCAGGGACTGAAGAAAGAGGGGTGTAAGTGTCAGCAGCCGGGCAGGGGTTGGACACCCCACCCTGGCCCTGCCTGGCCCCATTCCTCACCGCAATGCACTTCTCGAAGGCCGTGATTTTATCATGGGCCACTTCCTCACGGATTGCCACATACATGTAGGGAACATAGCTCAGGAAGTAGATGATGCCGCCGCAGGCTGACGCCAACTTAGCCTTGGAGTACAGCACAGACACCAGGAAGCTGCAGTGGGAGCCCACACGGCTGTCAGTCCTGAGATGGCTGGCTCTGGGCCTGCAGCCCCCCTGGGCTGCCCCAAGAGACAGCACTCACCAGAACATGATCGTGGCCACAGCATAGACCGCGAGGAAGAGCCAGATGATGAGCACGTGGCTGTGCATGAGCACCTGGCCGTACTTGAGGATGGCCGTCAAAGCCGTCACGGAGATGGACAGCTGCACAAAGCCTGTGATGAACCAGGCCACCCAGTGCACGGCGTTGTTCAGGCCCATCGTCTTCATCACCTGTGGTGGGCAGCAGATGAGGGCCCTTGGGGCAGGTGCGGAGGAGAAAGGATGGCACTGCCCCCCACGCCCCCCCCCACACCACACACACACAGCCTGTGGAAGGGAGTGCCTACAGCCACCTAGACCCACCTCCTTGAGCCGATGTTCTTTCTCTGCCACGATATGCTGGATGGTCATGGCCACGGAGTAGACCCAAGAGATCACCATGCAGAGTGGCATCATGTGCTCGATGACAAACAGGAAGCTGAGGGGAAACAGGGGTTAGGGGGCACTTGGGCCTGAGAACTCCCTCCCCCCAAACCTGTGTAGGCTGGCACTCACTCATCACGCGTGTAGCAGGGGTACGGGAACATCTGCACATAGTTGCCAGGCTCCACCACGTCATGCCCCACAAAAGTGTTGATAATGGCACGCTCCATCATGTCTGTGGGTAGAAGTCGTATCGGGGCAAGGCCAGGCTCCCCCCCTCATATCCCACCTGGGCTCAGTCCCTCACCCTGGATCCAGACGAAGCCATAGAGGAAGTAGAAGCGGCCACCAGTGTTGGGCCCCGGGCGCCAATAAGCACGTCGGATCTCATTGGTTTTCTCGGTGAAGCTTGAGTTCTGGCGAATCTTGTAATGCACGTGTGGAGGGAGGGAGCCATCCTTCCGGGTCTGGAAGATCACGCCTGGGAACAGGAGGCTGGAGGAGTGTGTGGCCAGAGGGCATAGAAGGGATGGGACAGACTGCGAAGTGAGTGTTCCAGGAGAGATAATGGGGACAGATGAGGTGTCTCAGAAAGAGGGGGAGCAGGCCTGAAGAGGAACAGGGGGATGAGGCAGAGCCAGCAGGCTGAGTGTGGGACCCAAGTGAGCCAGGCTAGGGAGAAAGGGAGAGATGTGGGAAGACATGGAGGTGGTGAAGAGGTCTGGGCCAAGGAGCAGGAAGGTAACGGAGCATAGTAGGGATAGGGTGGGACCGAGCTGGTGAGGAAGTAGGTCTATAGGAGACACAGGACCTTTGTGGGAGGGGGAGGAACTCACTGGCAAACACTGTGACGTTATCCTGGTAAGCCTGGTTGAGCGTGTAATTGACAATACTCTCCTCATCAGGAAAACCCTTGAAGATGTCCACACTCACCTGGAAAGGGGCCATCGTTGGAGCAAGCCCTGAAAATGCACAGGGGGAAAGGGTGGTCACAGTGCTCACCCACCGCACCTTGGACATGAACTGGATCCAGCCACAGGCTGCGTTGTCAATTGTGTCTAGCTGCTGCAGGAGAGCTGTGCCATTGGGCAGTGAGAAGTTGTCCTGGCGCAGGGCAGGTGGCAGCTCCTCCAGGGACAGGTTCATCGCTTCAGGGTGCAGGCGCAGATCGGCCACATACTGAAGTAGACAGTTGAGTTTAGGGTGTGGCTCGTACCCTTCAGCTCTGGGCAGAAGAGCCCACTGCAGGTGCCCACCCACCTTGTACCCTCAGCACCTGCTGCAGCCAATGTAGATGCTGCTGCAGCCTGCCTTGCTCCAGGAAGCTTCGGATCTCCGCGGAGATGTTAAGCCAGACCTCGGCATAGTGTGTCACATTGCCCACAAAGGCAAAGGTCTCATTGGCCTGAAGAAAACGCAAGCTTGAGGCATGGGGCTCCAGAGGAACCTGAGCCAGTCTGGGAGTCCTCTGTTCTCTCACACGTTCAAGGGACCTGCCTAGCTAGTACTTCTACCTCACCTTCCTACCATAGCCACATGGCTTCCCTGAATCCCACCTTAGCATCCATGCATGCTTTTCTCACTCCTTCCTTCCTTTTTTCCTTCCTTCCTTCCACATGCCCCTTGAGCACTTAAGTCTGACCCTCATTTCTCCTCCCACCCACCCCCCAAAAAAAACTCCTCCAAGGTCAAGCTCTTGCCACATCCACTTCCACTCCTGGCTTACACTGTTCCAACAAACTCTCTTCCCAGGCTTCAATGTTCCTTGCACCCTGCTCATTTGTTGCTACCGGTGTGTGAGTGTGTGGGGACGCCTCTGAACATACCACACTGGCCCAGTCAGCATGGGGGGGAGACACTAGCCAGAGCATCCAGCCTTTCCAGTGCATCTCTTCCCTGCAGGAACTCTGTGGAGTTCTCAACAGAAAGGCTGCCAAGTGCCACTACCCCTCCAGCTCCGAAACTGGCCGTGCTAGGCACACCACTACCCAGGTTTCACGAAGTCAACCCTAGCTCTCATCAGTCCTACATAGAGTCCCAGGACTACAGAGCCCTCACTCAGGCTCTTGCTGGGCTCATGCTCCTACTGGGGAGATGGGCACAACTCGTGACCCAATTGTGCCAGACCCACACACCTTGAGGATAACACGGTCAGCTTCAGAGCCCGCTGGTGCATACAGGATTTTGGGGTTGCTGGTCATGAGGTGCACAAGAAGGCCCAGGTTCCGCTGCTCTTTGCTTGTGAACCCCAAGGAGCTCATGTTACCCCTCCGAAGCGCTTCAGGCTCAATGGTGCTGGCAGAGACAAAGCAGTAGGAACAGGGCAGAGATGTCAGGACCAATGGGATGGGGCACTTGGGGTGGCTCAACAAAAGCCAAGGGACAGGGCTTAGGAACAGAACTTCAGGTGGGATGTCAGGTTAGGCACGGGGTGGTCTTAAACGTATGAGCACACAGAAAACGGGACTTCCAGAATGGAGTCCATGCACAAGGGCCAGGCAATGGGTCAACTCCCCACCACCCCACGACTCTCCCCGTCCCTCCATCCCTTTGTTGCTGACCTACCGGTTGTTGCCACACAAGATGGGCTGCAAGCCAGCCCAGAGCTGCACAAAGGCGGAGCACTGGCCTTGCAGAGTGTCGGGGGAGGCTGGGGTTACAGGTGACTGGGTGCCCTCCTCAGCGGTGCTGTTGGGACCTGTGTTTGCCCCCGTCACAGTGCTGTTGGCCACTCCGGTCAGGCCGCTAGCTTGGGGTGCAGGGGCCCGACCAGCACAGGCACCCTGGGGCAGCAGCAGGGCTAGGGCTGACAGGACATCCACATCCTGTAGAACTTTCTGGGCATCCAGCAGGTCCCCTAAGAGTGCCTGCAGGCTCCGTGGGGATGGTGCCTGCTGCTGGGGGTCTGAGCCGTTCGGGACATCCAAGCCCAGCTGAGGGGGGAGACCAAGGGGAAAACGCAGGCTAGGAGACAGGGTAAATTCGATTGGAGGTGACTCAGGGAGGTGACTAAGTTCAGGATGGAAGAGGAAGGCTATCAACCGGGGACAGTGCTTGGGGAAGACAAGGGAGGGTCTACACCTTAGGAAGTCCTGGCCAGGGCTAGAACTATAGTAGAGGGTATTGAATACTCAATTACAAGCCACACCATGGCCTGGGAGCAGGAGCCCCCCCACCCTCAGGCTCCAAGTAGCCCCAGAACTCCTCCAGGCTAGTCAGCAGGTCTGCTGGCCAGCTGGCAGGCAGGACCTCACCTGCTGGGCAATCTTGGCCATGTCCAGCTGGTTCCGGAGTTCAGTGGCCAGATCACTGAAGCGCTGGGCACGAGCCATAGCCGGCCCACTGCAGACGGCATCCCGGTAGCCCTGCAGGTCTACCTGATGACCCTCAGGCATGGTAAGAATCCGACCCAGCTCCCCAGAGCCTGGTGCACATGTGAGCTGCTCCAGGAGGGCAGGAGTCAGCAGCAGTTCCTGGTGGCAAGGCAAAGGGGACTGGTAACGCCTGCACTCCAGCCGAGACACTATCAAGGGCCTACTGAAGGTAGCACAAAATTTTGCCTGCCCGTCCACTGTGTTGGCTCTGTGCCAGGGTCCCACGGTGCTGTGGGAGCTCTCAAATCACCATCCTGCCTCCACTTACCCATGAATACCACAGATCCCCAGAAGTTACGTGTAACTAAGGGAGAAAACCCTTCCCCATGAACACCACAGATCCCCAGAAGTTATGTGTAACTAAGGGAGAAAACCCTTCCCCATGAACACCACAGATCCCCAGAAGTTACCGGTAACTAAGGGAGGAAACCCTTCCCCATGAACACCACAGATCCCCAGAAGTTACCGGTAACTAAGGGAGGAAACCCTTCCCCATGAACACCACAGATCCCCAGAAGTTACGTGTAACTAAGGGAGGAAACCCTTCCCCATGAACACCACAGATCCCCAGAAGTGATGCATAACTAAGGGAGAAAACCCTTCACCATGAACACCACAGATCCCCAGAAGTTACCGGTAACTAAGGGAGATCCTCTCCTTCCACCCTTCTCCCCGGGACAGGCCCCTCACCTCCATTTGGTACAGAGGATTGCTACCCAGGCGACTCCACGGCTCATGCTTCCTGAGGAAACCCAACTTCCCATCCAGGGCAGGCAAAGGACCAAAAAGCAAATGATAGACCTGCATTGTGAGGGGTCTGGCTCAGTAGGGGCTCCAGAGTGCTGAGAGGAGCTGAGATACACTCGCAGCGCCTCCCCCTCCCTCGCTGCGGTAACCAGGGGCAGTGGGGAGGCCAGAGGGACATGGCCACCATGGATACATGCCCCACCTCACCTCGGAAGGATCCACACGGGCAGCCAGGAGGGCCTGGGCCGTGCTGTTAGGCAGTGACAGGTTCTGCGTCAGGAAACGCCAAAGCTCATTCTGGTCCCTGGCCACCGAGTCCAGACGGAAGGACGAAACTGGACAGGCAGGAGGATGGGACTGAGGAGCCGGCTCTAGCTGGGGCTACGGAGTCCCAGATAGGCTCTGAGCAGAGTTACCAGCACTTCACTGGGCCTGCCTCAAGCACACAGGTCAGGGACAATGGGATGCAGACTCAGGGACCCAGGGCCAGAGGCAGGCAGGCTCCCAATGACAGTGTGCTCAGGCCCTCCCCCAAGTCCCAAAGCCATCCCCACACAGGGCACACCTGCAGGGCTGGCCGAGCGGCTCTCCCAGGTGCTAGGGCCTGAGCTGAGGGCCTCCAGATGTTGGCGCAGGGCCTCAAGCTCTGAGCCTAGACTGGGTCGCACTGGGTCAAACAAGTTGCCCTCTTCCACGACACGGTTGAGGCGTTCTAGAAGCTGGGTGACCCTGCAACACCGTGAGACATCAGCCATTTGCTATGGTGTCCGGGTAGGAGTAGCCGGCTCCCAAGCCATGGGGCGGGCGCACTTACGTGGAGTTGGCATATTGCAGGAAGCCAAACTCATCACGTTGGCCGTCCGGGCAAAGCGACTGCATGACTGGCAGGATGCCGGCAGATGTCAGGGGTGCTGCCGTGTAGAAAGCTGGTGGGGTGAAGAATGGGGGAGGCGGAGGCCAAGAGAGATATGTGAAGACAGTCGGGAAGGAGGGAGACGCAGCTTCAGGCAGACTAGGACTGGGGCACAGCGCACCTGACCCCCCCAGCTGTGCTAAGGCAAAGACTCTGTAGGTCAGAGGTCAGAGGGCCACCTGCCACCCCTTCCCCTGTAGCTCCCAGCATATCACATTTTAGCCTGGCATTGCCCACATGCCCCCAATGATCCCCTTTCCCACAGACACCAGGGTAACACATGAGGCACCCCTTGGCAGTGACCTCTGACCTCGCAGGCCAACTGGTTAGCAGAGTGAGCGCAACAGCCCAAAGGAGTTTGAAGGGAAAGTTGCAGGCCACCCCAGCCTCATCTCAGGCTAGCCCAGGCTAGCCCAGGCTCAACCCAGGAACCCTGCCCTTAGAAAGCAGTGCCAGGTGGACTCAGACACCCTGCCAAGAAGATACTCCAATGGCTTGACCAGGGTACCAGTTATGGCCCAGGTGGCCTGGCCCTTCACTACCCTCACCCCCCACATCACAGCCCACCACCCTGACTGATAAGCCAGCCTTTCCTGATCACAGGCAGAGGCTTCTACAGGACCCAGCTGCTAGGAGGCTGTTAATGCAAGCAGAAGGGGTGCTTAAGCCGCACTAGGAGGACCCGCCAGGCCATCCATGGCTGCCACCTGAGCCAGCAAGAAGGAATGGCTGCTCACTTACAGACTGCATGCAGGCCGGGCCGAGGAGGACAAGAGACCATGCAGGGTGGGGGGGCAGGTCAAAACAGAACAGAGGAGACTAGTGAATGCCGGAACCCTCCAGAAACAGGCACCATCGTCACTCGTGGCCACAATGGCCAGCCCTGACTGCCACAGCCTAGCCAAGACACGTGGCCAGGACCACACGGGGAGCAGGGAGTCTTGGGAATGGGGCCACACTCGGGCTGACACGTACACACAGGACTCTCGTCCCTCCCTGCCCACCCACGTGCCCAGGCTATGCCTGCGCCTCACCTTCCTTCACGGAGATGGTGGGCTTCTTCTGCCGCAACCCCAGCAGGATGAAGAAGAGGACCAGCGGGATGAAGATCTCAAAAGCCAGGACCCACTGGAAAGGGTGAACCACATGAAGCTAACCGCAGTCTGTCCACTGCCTGCCCAGGGCTAGACATGATGGACAGGTGCTGGCCTAGGCTCTTGTGACCTCCTTGAAGGACCAGCCCAGCCCTGTGTACCCAGTGGCCACGAAGGTCAACACAGGTTTCTCAGGTCCAGCCAGGGTTCTAGTCTCTCCCAGTATACCCTGATGTTGAACGCCGTGTGGTGCCACCAAACTGGGTCTCTCGTCCTGCAGCCTACACTGTGCCTGACAAACCATGGACCACCCACCCTCTGAAGAGGCCCAAGGCCAGCAGGGACAACTTAGCCAGTTTGTGGTCAACTCTGACCCAATCATTTACCCAACTCCTCTTCTCCCTGGCAACCTGCTGAGCCCCCCGGGTGGGATCCTGAAGGGCATCTGGGCCACGTGTGATCTCTGACTTGAATGACGTGCACCTCCCCTCTCCTCTCCTGTAGCACCCTTATAACTTTGTGTTGGACCCAGAGAGAATAGGCCTAGTGTGACCAGGGCCCTGAGCCTCTAGCAAACACAGTCTCTGAGGCAAAAGCTTCTTTTCCTGGCCTAACCTCTAGGGGCCAGGCTGCAAGGTAGGCCAGAAGTGCCAAAACCTTGGGGCTCAGACTCTCACCTCCCAGTGTCTCTCGGTAAACAAAGAACTGTCTCAATTCCTGCCCCCCACCTCAGCTCAGAGATGAAGGCCAGGCGATATATCAGGAAGCTCCTGCCTCGGAGACCACAGGAAAGAGAGGCCCACCCACCACCACCAGAGGTCATCCTTCTCCAGGGCCCTGCAATATCGGAGATCTCCTTCACCCTCATCACCATCTGAAGCGGACTTTGAAGCGCCACCCTGCCCCACCCCCGCCCAGGAGCGGTGTGGGGCCATGCCCAGCCTGTCCCTGGCTATGCCTACTGTGCTCTGACAATAGCGCTCTGTGATCCAGAACACCCTGCTGTGTGTCCACACCCCACACCCGCCTCAGCCGGTGCCAGCCTCCACCTCCTCTCCCCAGGGCCAGCTGAAGAGGTGATGTGTGCACCCAGGGCCGCAGGACAAACGTGTTTCACACATACAGAGTGGCTGGTGTCAGGGGCCACAGTTCAAGAGACAGCCCTACCCATACCAGGCCCTACCCTGGGCACCTCTGCCCTGCCCTGGGCACCTCAGAGTAACTGCAGCACAGGCTAGGCCGTCTCCCCTATCACTATAGCAACGGCTGCGCATGAGCTGCTAGGAGGAAGAGTCCTAGCTGGCAGGTGGCGGGCACCACAGGGGAATCTGGTTACAGGCGGCACAGGTTCAGCAGTACCTAGGTGTTCTACCTGGGTACAGCAAGTGACCTAGGGATCCTGTCCCTCAAGACTAGCCCAGTCCTTTCACGCCGCCCCAGTGTCTCCATGCCAATCCTGGGTCTGAGCTGCCCTCCCTGAAGCCTAGTGCTTGCTGTGGTGGGGGAGTGGAGAGAGCAGGGGACACCCAACTGTGATGCTGGGGCCTGCCACCACAACTACTCAACACTGGTGTGCCTCCTACGGACGCCAGGGTAGACCCGAGTCCCATGTGCAGCCAGCTCAAAAACAGGGCAATTGAGGCATGGTACTTGGGAGAAGGAAGCAGGAAGGGCAGAGGTCTGGGAGTCCCTTCCAGATCATTAGCTTTGCATGGGTGTGTCTCTGGCCCCAGCAAAGCCTGTCTTCCTGGAGAAAGACAGCCACTGCTGGTACCTCACTGTAGCCGTAGGTTAAGGATCCCCCACTGTGGTCTAACTGGTCCAATGGGAACCTGGGAAGGTCCACAGATCAACCCAGCCTAGCGGGCAGCGGGGTCAGTCCTAGGAAAAGGCTATGAGCACCTCCAGCTGTCTGTCAAATCACTGGACTCTTCTTCAAGCCTGGTGTGAGGCTCCCATCAGATGCAGGAACTGTTTTAGCCTCTGCTCCTGGGCCCTGAAGGGGCCTTCCTCACAAGCAACTTGGGGCTAGCACTGAGGCAGGCCTACATCCTCTCTCTACGTCTTCCCCCTGGGGACTTAAAAGCTAGAGTAACAACAAGCCAACTCCTTCAGACCCCACACCAGGTGGCCCCAGACAACCAGGACAGGGGACGTACCCAGTCCTTGCTTCAGCCAGGGCCAGGTGCCCACAGGAATCCTGCCAGGCCATGGTGATGACTGCTACCCACCCTGCCTATAGCCCAGAGTTTCTTATTATGCACCTGAATACCCAAAGTGGAACCAGGAGGAGTGTGGCAACCCAAGGAGTCCCTGGGAATGGGCTGGTCCCTTCTTTAGGCACCCATCCTCCCTGGCCTCCACCCTGCAAAAGCCCTCTGATACTCTTGCTGGCCCAGGACACTCTGGGTGCCCTTGCTCTTCCAGGGACTGGAATAAAAACCAACAAGGCCCATGCCATCCAGACCCCCCAAACTGCTCCTCATCCAATTACTCTTCTGTCCTGGCTGCCCTAGACAGGTACTGAGAAGCCTGGTGTTGAGCTCTGCCCAGCAGGCCCCAGCCCCCAGAGAGGCCCGAGGCAGGAGAAATCAGAGGAGCTGCCTCGGGGAAAACTGGCCCTAAAGGACAAACGGGTGCTGGGGTTTGACGGCTTGAGCTGGCACAACAAGTACATGCCCAGGGATGAGAGAGCAGGAGTGAGGGCTGTGGACATGCCAGGATGGGCTAGGAAAGGAGAGGGGAGGAGGAGGAGATGAAGAAGGGAGGAGAAGGGGGAGGAGGGGGAGGAGGAGACGGTGGCAGAGGAGGAGGAAGAGGGCGGCGGCAGGGCTACTTGGTACCATCTTCAGCCTAAGGTGCCTGCCCAAGGGCAGAGAAGCGGTAAAGGGAATGAAGAGACGGGTCGCTATGGGGGTTCCGGAGGCAGTGGACCCAGGGCTTGGAGCCCCTACGCTGAATGGTGCGCCCCAGCCAGCACTGTGTCCCAGGAACCTGGGCCTCGCCAGAGCTAAAGTCCAGGGACCACCCGCCCCCACCTCAGCCTGCCAGAGAGAGCAGCGAAGGGCGCCGGCCCGTGACTCAGCCGAGCGTTGCGAGTGTCAGCGGACGAGGGCACAGCCGAAGCCGCTGCCCGGGGCCGGGAAGCCCGCGGAAGCAGCGGGCCCGGGACAGGGTCCCCGGTAGCGGCCTCCCAGGGTCTGCGCGCGCCCGGGCACTGCACGTGCACGCTGGGAGCGCACCGGCAAATCGGGAGCGCGGCCTGCGGGCCCCGGAGGATGGGGTGCGGGTCGCTCACCGGGCTCCGGCGCTTCAGCGTCACGTTCTTCCAGAGCAACAGCTGCAGCTGGTGCAGGAAGCCCATGGCCGGGCCGCGCTCCGCCGCCTCAGCGCCGCGGCCCGCTCCTCTGCACGCCCCGCCGGGCCCCGCTGCCCGCCGCGCCGCTCGGCATCGCCCGCGCGGGGGCGGGGCGCTCGAGAGTCCGGGACCTGCTCGTCGCAGGCTCCGCCCCGGCGGCCGCTGCTCCCGAGACTCGCTGCTCGCGCTCGCGCCCGCCACCTCTGCTGAAAGGCGACTCGGCGCTCGGGTGTCCGCCAGGGGGCGCCCAGGTCCGCCGAGCCCGGGCCCGCTGCACCTGCGCATAGCACCAGGCCTCTGCTCACCCGGTAATGCTGTATTTCCAGGTCCGTCACAGCCCCGCGTCTGAACCAAGATCTAAGTTCACACCTTTTCGAGGCCTGGGGAGAACTTGGGCACCCTATACTTCTCCCAAGGGACTCCAGATATGTGCCCCCCAATTGATAGATTTGCGCAGGAGTCCCCAAGGTGTTCCACTGTCCCTCCTGGAACACTGAAGGAGGCTTGGTCCCCATCAGGTCACCACTAGGTTGGTCCTCCTCCCATGTAGAGATAGGAAGCAGGGTCAGTTATTCATTTAGAGGAAAGGCACTGCTCCATTAACTGAACTGTGTAGGGTGGGCAATGACCTCAAGGCTCCAAGATGCAACACGCAGCCCCACAGCATTAACTTGACTTAGATGCTTTTGTTTTGTTTTGTTTTTCGAAACAGGGTTTCTCTGTGGCTTTGGAGCCTGTCCTGGAAGTAGCTCTTGTAGACTAGGCTGTCCTCGAACTCACAGAGATCCGCCTGCCTCTGCCTCCCAAGTACTGGGATTAAAGGTGTGCGCCTCCACCGCCTGGCCTTGGCTTAGATATTTTAAAGAGCAGCCTAGCGCTGGCTTAGGCCTTTAATAGGGAAGCAGAGGCAGGAGGAACTCTGTGAGTCTGAGGCCAGCCTGGCTTACAGAGAGAGTTCCAGGCCATCCAGAGCTACATAGAGAGACTTTGTTTCCATGAAATAAATAACATGTAATCCCTGTAATGCAAAAGGCAGAGGCAGGAGGATCAGGAATTCGAGGTCATCTTTGGTGATGTAGTGAATTCAGGGCCAGCCTGGGCTACATGAGACCCTGCCTAAAACAGAAATGTTGGGCACCTTCAGTGGTTGGGTAAGACAAACTGTGAAAGCAGATTGCATTTTGCTTTAGAGAGCCTGGGAGTGACATACCCACAAACACACAGCCTGGGAGGGGAGAGCTATGAACCCAGCTTTTGGGGTGGGGTGGGGGTCCCAGGGTGTCACCCAAACAGATTCCTCACAGAATTTCAGTTGCATTGAGAACGAGCAAGCTGAGGCTGCGTGGGCTCTGAGGGATGTTCATGGCAGCCTCTCTGGGCTTTCCACGTGGGTGAGATGCCCGCGCAGTAGTGCTTACCAGGCACAAATCGATGCCCCACGTGAAGGGCTGGAAACTGCTGAGGGTGAGAGCACCCTAATTCTGGCCCGAGAAAGTTAGGCTTCTAGTCACACTGGTGCTGAGATGGCTTGATTGGGAAGAATTTACTACAGTCATGCATTGTGGCTGCCTGCTCAGGCCTCACCGCCCTTCCCAGACTGCTGATCTTAACAGTGAGGAGACTCAAAAGGACCTTAAGAGCTACTCCTTGCTGGCAGGGGTGATTGGGAAGACAGGCTGTCCCTTCTATATATGGTTTACTTGTTACCCACTCCCCCCATATCCACGTAAACCTGGCTTCTTCCAGCTCACGGAGCCTGGGGTTTGGTGGGTCTATAGAGGTGTTTGAGCTTGGGCCTATTGATAGTGTTGCAGGACTGATTTCTCCGTGTGGCCAGCAGGGGACAGCAGAGAGCCACCAGCGCCAGCAATCAGGCCACCGTCCTGAGGGTGACATGTGACGGCTGTTTACCAGCTTGGGTTTCCCACCTGTGACTGGGACAGCGGAGATTGTGGGACACTCAGGTTGCTCTTAAAATGGATGAAAAGCTTAGAGAGCTAAAGCTTCCCACACCTCCTCAGCGCCTTGGTTGAGGAGAGGTCCCCCTCCCCCCCGCCAGGGCTGATGGGAGAGGACCCAAAGCTCCACCCAGGCCCAGCCCCCAGCCCCAGGACACTTCCTTCTCCCCCACTTAGCCCAGGGGGCTGGGTCAGGGCAGGAAGCCATGGGCAGGCCTTTCTCACAAACCATGGGGGGAGGGGGGCTTCCTGCCGGCCCTGCCACCCCACCCCCAAGGCATGGACAAACCCAAGTCCAGACCTAACCCAGGGGCTCAACCTGTCACACTCATAGGTTCACCCCATATCTCCTCCCCTCACTCCCAGCCCAACACAAGGGGCTCCTTCTGCAGTGGGGTCTTCACTGAATCCCCTCACGGATACCCATACCAGCCATCGTAGATCAGGCCCTGTCATACAAGACACCCCTCCAACCTGAGACCTATGACATGTGACACCTCAGTTTAGTTTGACCTCAGCTCCCCAATCTGTACCTGCCATGGGCTGTGGAGACCATGGGTGTGGGGTAGGGTGTTAAGTAAAGTGTCAACTTAAGCAAGGCAGAAACAAGAAACCCAGTGGCTGACTGAGGGGAATGAGCAAGTAGGGGCGGGGGAGGGAGAGGGACACACGGACACAGACTGATGGGGGACGGGCGGGGGACTGGACAATGCTGGTCTCACAACCTCACACCTGACCCGGGAGATTTGTGTCAGTGTCTTTATTAGTGGCACCTCTTTCCCTGAGAGGAATGTGGGGTCAGAAGCCCAGAGTCAGCCACACTGTCCGTCTGTCCTTCACACACCCCTGGACCCAGCATGTGGTCTGCACTCAGAATCCCAGGATATGCTCCTGCACCTTGGTTGTGGAGGTTCAGGGGGCCTAAGGTTTTGTGTCCAGCTCCAGAAACACCGTTTCCCTGCTTCATCTGAGCCGTGTGTGTGTTCAAGACAAGTCAGGGACCTTCAGCCACCTTTCCTGTTTGATTAGCTTGGACGATATGCGATTTAATTCCCTTCAATCCGTTGCCTTTTCCCCGGATCCCTAAGGTCCATCAGCTTCCTCACCCAGATGGCTTCTCCTGCCCACTCTGTTCTCCTCATAGCGTTAGTCCCAAAGTGACCCAAAAGGCTCAACGCCTAGTGCTTCGGTGTCTTCCACCCACACAGCCTCTCCCAACCGCAGTTCAAGCCCGGAACCAGCTTTCGAGGTCTTCATAGACCTGGCCGCGGGGCAAGTAAGGGTAGCGGGCACAGATGGTGCAGAAACGTTCCCTCCAGTCACCCAGGAGCCGCACACGGAGCCGGTCTCGCCAAGCGAAGAAGCGCTGGTAGCGGCTCTCATTCATGCCGACAAGGAAGCCAGCCAGCTCGCGGGCTGAGCTGAAGTCATCCACGTGCACAAAGGCATCTGGAGGTACAAAAGCTTCGTAGGTGGCCCGCGGAGGTCCCAGCACCACAGGCACCGCACCAGCTGCCAGCGCATTGCGCCAAAACTTCTCAGTGATGTAGTCCCGATGCTGTGAATTCTCGAAGGACAGGTAGAAGCGGTACCGGGCCACAGTGGGCAGCAGGCAGTTAGCGCACAGGGGCCGTCCGCTGGCACGACCAAACACATCCACCTGCAGGTGAGGGGCCAGCTGCCGGTACAGCCTTGCACGCTGCTGCCGTTCCTGGAAATTGCTGACCACCCAGGCAGCCATCTTGCTTTTGGCTGGTAGTGGGGGTGTAGGCCCAGAGTAGGGCTCCAATCGACCATAGGGTACAAAGATATCTGAATCACGCCGATAGCTCAGCACCCAGTTGAAGATGCCTCGGAAATGATGGAGACCACGGCTATTGCTGGGCGATTCCAAAGAGGCCCAGACCCAAGGCTGTCCGTGCGGCCTCTGGTCCAGGGGCAGGCGAGACTGCAGGGTCTGCAGCTCCCTGTGATGGAAAACCACAGCATCTGCACTGGCTAGCAGGCTCCGGTTAGAACTCAGGCGGCAGCTAGCCATGCCATAGTGAGTGCAGGTATCCCCAGGCAGCTCTGGGGGCTGGTTGGTGAAAGGCCAGTGCCAGATGAGGATGGTGACTGTAGGCTGAGGCGCCGGGGCGCTCCCAGGAGCTGATTCCAGCAGCCAGAGGAGCCAGAGGGCCATGAGCGCTGCACCTCCAGCCAGAGCCCCCCAGGCTCGCAGCCTCCAGGTGGGGTTGCACCCTGAAGCAAGATTTAAAAAAAAGGAGAGGTCCTGTCACCCTGGGCCCAGGGATGCCCATAAATCCCCACCATCCCCACCTGGGATGTCTCAAGGGCCAGGCACTCACCAGCACAAATCATCCACAGCCTTCCGGAATCGGTCACCCAAGGACTTTCAAATCACAGCAGCCTCCCCAATAGAGGCACCCTAAAATCACAGCTGCACCTCAACTCAGCCCCTGGTGTCTCCCTTTCATCTACCCAAGGTGAGGGAAACCAGGGGCCTTCCCACTTCTGCCCCGCCCTAACCCTTCGGGTTTTGGCATCAGCCACCATCCCATCCCACCCCACCCCACCCACCCCATCCTCTGCTGGAAGAAGGAATCGAGACAGGAAGAAGGCCAAGCCAGGGCCCCCTGCCCAACCCTGCTGGTCCCTAGAGATGACCAGCTAGGCATATGGAGGAGGAGCTGGACGCCTGCTTGCTCTCAGGAAAAGGAAATCCCCTTTGTGAGTATACTGAGCAGAAATGGCCCTCCTCTCCAGATGAGCACCCCCATCCATGGTCCACCACCCAACCCCAGGGCACCCGAAGAGAGCAACTGCACGTCCCCAGGAGGCCAGAGAGGCTCCTCCCCGTAGTGACACCCACTTCCCCCAACCCCCCACTGAGCTGACCCTGTTCTTACAGGCCCTCGGGCACCACAAATTACTGCTCTCAGAGCCCATCCCACCCCACCTCTGCCACCTCTAGGAACCGCCTCGTTCACAGGATTATAGTCCTTAGAAAAGGGCCCCCATCACAGTCCGGTCAGACCTTAGTGCATGCCCTTTAGGGCAGACTCAGCTGCCTTGGACGCCAGGGAGGGCTGGGATGCACACCTCTCCCTAGAGACCTGTGGGCACGCAAAGCTTGAGCTGTAGGCTCAGCCCAAGGTCTTGGATGGACTAGGAAGAGCTGCAGGTCACTTCCTTTCTTCCTGCTATCCCAGGAGGGGGCTTTCCAATCTGGAAAGGAAAGAGTCTGCATGTCCCTGACGTGGACAGGCAGACTGGTGGGCAGCGGGTTGGCATCCACTCTAGAAGCAGGAAGGCTGGTCCCAGCCTCGGATCCAGGCTGGTTTGGATTCCCTCCAGCTGACCTTGGTGGGCTAACCTTCCTTTCCCTCTCACTCAGGCCCCTAATCTGGAGCTGCAATGACCCAGTGCACGGCGGGGTGGCCTGACATGGTCACCCAGGGCTGCTTCAGCCCATGCAAGGCTTCTAGCCAAGGTGCTTCCCTTTTTTTCACCCCCACCAGAACTCCCACTCTGCTGCCCAGGACACTGTGGGGGGCTCACACGGGGAACAGCAAGCTTGTCTGGTCCACGTCCCAGACTCCAGAACAGGAATCCTAAAGGGAAAGACACTGGGAGGTCTGCTGCCCCAGCGTCCTTTTTAGGGACTGCCTCCTACACTTGGCCCTACCCTGCCCTGTTTCACCGCTGGGCTTCCAGGACTCCTGGCCTCCCCCAGCCATAGTCTCACACGCTGCTGCGCTGCTGTAGAGACAGGAACCAGGTAACTGACAGCGGACCCGTGGTGGCGGCAGAGACGAGTTGCAGGAGAAGGTGGCTGTTTGGCACCTCGGTGGTGCCCCATCCCCCCAGTGCAGGGTATAACCTCCAAACTGTGGTGGGGAGTTTGCGCAATGCCCAAAGGGGAAGAGAGGGTGTGGGTGCCTCCAGAAGCCATTTCACTGGCTGGAGATACAACCGAAAGTGCCCGTGGAGTGGGCAGCTGTGCCCTTGCCCTTCTAATCACTCGGTGCTCAGTGAGATGACCATAGTGGTAACTGCCCTCTCAGCCCCACCCCTGGCATCTTCTCTCCATCTTTCCCCAAGTAGGGTGACCCCAGGAGAGCCACACCCTGGCTTCAGACTTTCACTTCACCCCCCACCCCCACATATTCTCCTTGTGGTAGCCTCAGAAGGCAGTGTGGGACCTGCAGGAAGGGGGCCATCCTGCCAGCTTGGGGCCACAGGCTTCTTCTGGCTGCCAGAACCTACTGTCCTTCCTGTTTGTGCCACCAGGCTGGCTGGGGCTCTTGCCCCAGCCTTACCCACACCCACAGTCTGTTCCCTTCCTGGATGGATTTGAAGGAACCTCCCCCACATCTGTCTTATTACTGTCTCACCATCCAGCCCAGGTTGGCAGCTGTCGGGGCCCCTGATCATGGGAACATACTAACTGGGGAATAGATTCAGAAGTTTTGCCCAGAAATGGGTCAGAATGAAAAAGGAAAAGGGGGAGGGCTGAGAGAACATGAGTCAAAGGGAAAACCGGGGGCCTCAACCTGGTAGGCCTTTACCCTATCAGGCCTCCCCAACTCATGGGGCTGTCCGGGAAACGGGCACCCAACCCCAGCTCTGCAGCTTGGAGGAAGCAGAATCAAGATCACACACTCTACCCAGCCTAGGAGACCCTGTGCCCCCTCCTCCAGCTAAGGTAGGGCACAGCCTTATAGACCGCTGCACCAGGACACACAGATACTTGGGGCAGCAGGCCGGTGAGAAACATGCTACCTCTTGCCTGCTTGCCCGCCTGCCTGATCCTCACCCAACCTCCAAGGCTGGTCAGATGTGTGCCTAGAGGGCCCCCTGGTGGCCATTCTCTGAAGTCACCTGATCTTGCTGAGGAGGGAGCTGACCTGCTTAACGCTCTGGGCACTGGGGTTCAGAGCTTGCCTTTGGGGAAGCATAGAGTTGGGACCTTGTAGGGGAAGGCAGTAAAGGGGACGCGTAGGTGAAGGGGCATGCTGCTGAGGGTAACACGAAGGTGGTAATCAGGAGCCAGCTGGGCTGGGCAGCAGGCAGACAGCCCTAAAGGGCGCACTCCAGCCCCTCCTCTCCCCTTCTTTCCCATTATGCCTGTGGGGAAGGGGCGTGTCCTTGTACTAGTCCAGATGAGCTACAGATCCTCCGAGAGCTGATTCTCTAGGAACCCATGTACCGCACCCCAAGTTTTGCATATCTTTTTCTGTTTCACACCAGGACACACCCCTCTGGGCTTCACAGCCGTTGGGAGGCTGAAGTTAGGATACCCAGAAACAGGGGCCACTCTCTGGCCCCCCACGCTGGCAGGGGCTGAAGGACATCACCTCCTAGGGGATGAAGCTGGGAGGACTTATTTGTGTGTGTGTGTGCCTATGTGTGTGTGTGTCTGTGTGTGTGTGCCTATGTGTGTGTGTCTGTGTGTGTGCCTGTGTGTGTCTGTGTGTGCCTGAGTGTGTGTGCCTATGTGTGTGTGTGCCTGTGTGTGTGCCTGCGCTTGCGTGCATGTGCATGTGTATAGAAGATATGTATTTTTTTTGAGATGGGGTGTTTCACTGAACATGGAACTCACCAATTGACTAGATGCCTAGCCAGCAAGACCCTGGGATCCATGGTCTTTAGGGCTACAGACATACACCAACATACCTATTACACTTTTTGTAAAAATTACATTGCTGGAGGTTAGAGAAATGGCTCCATGGTTAAGAACACCAGCTGCACCCAGCACTTGGGAGGCAGAGGTAGGCAGATTTTTGTGAGTTAAGGCCAGCCTGGTCTACAGAGTAAGTTCCAGGATAGCCAGGGTTACACAGAGAAACCCTGTCTTGAAAAACAAAACAAACAAATAAACAAAAAACACAAAAACAACAACAAAAACAAAAAACCACCAGCAGCTCTTCCAGAGAGCACAGGCTTGACTCCCAGCAGTCACATGGTAGCCTTCCGCCAGCTGTAACACAGTCCCAGGGGGATGCACACGTTCTTCTAACCCCCAAGGACACTGTACACATGTGGTCCACAGACATATATGCATGCAAAACACCCATAAACAAAAAAATTTAAATTACTGACATTTGGGCAGAGAACCCAACTTCAGTTTCTAGCATCTATCTTGGATGGCTCACAACTGCCTGCAACTCCAGCTCCAGGGGATCTGACCCCCTCTTCTCACCTCTGCGCACACCCACACACACAATATCCGCACAGAGACACACATACATGTACATACTCTTTAATTAAAAATAAAGTTGTTTAAAATGGCATTTATGTATTTGGGGTGTGTATGCACACACACACACATCTGTGCCAGGGTGCACTTGTGGAGGTCAGATGACAGCTTGCCGGGGTCAGTTCTCTCCTTCCAGCATGTGGGGTCAGGGAACTAATTCAGTTCATCAGGCTTGGTAGTAAGACCAATGACCTTTCTCATCAGCCAAAATCTTTCTTTAAATATTTATTTATTATGTATACAATGTTCTGTCTATGTGTATGCCTGCAGGCCAGAAGAGGGCACCAGATCTCATTACAGATGGCTGTGAGCCACCATGTGGTTGCTGGGAATTGAACTCAGGACCTTTGGAAGAGCAGCCAGTTCTCTTAACCGCTGAGCCATCTCTCCAGCCCAGCCAAAATCTTTTAAATGACGTATGAATTATTTGTGTTCGTGCGTGGGTGTGGGTGCGCACGTATGGAGGCCAGGTGACAACCGTGGGAATCTGCGCTTTCCTTCGATCACGTGGGTGTGGGACTCAAATCATCAGGCTTTGCCGCGGAGGGCCTTTATCCACTTCAGTCATCTTACCCAACGCTCATGCGGATGCTGTGAGTCCCAGGTCCTCACGCGTGCGCGGCAAACGCTCTACAAAAAACGAGCCATCTCTCCGGGCTCTGAAGCTAGAAGACCCTGGTTCCTAGGATCACTGACTACGCTTTCTGTCCCATGCATGGTCTTCCCCCAGAGCCTTACTGGTTAGGGAGCGCCATCCAAATGGATGGGTGCCACCCCAGGTTTGCGCTGGGGTAGTGATTTTGTCACCTTTCGGCATCTGTGCTGAGTAGCATCTGGAGGTTTTGCTAAGAAGACAAAGCGGCTGAAACAGATGCATCCTATTGAGCTTCCTCTCACAGGAAGCAGGTAGAGGGGCTGGGATCCTAGGGGCCAGACCTGCAGAAGGCTCAGGTAGACACAGTCCTCTGGCAAGTCCGAGCCAGTGCTGCAGTGAGACTGACTTCCTGTTGGAGCCAAACAAAGTACCCTTCAGCAGGGGCCTGGGGCATAGAAGGGACAGCCACACCACCAGCACAGGGAATAGGGTAACAGGCTCTGGGAAAGGCCCAACTACGCTCCTTGTCTAAGAACTGAATCACCAAGTCCCTATAGACCCCAGAACCTCCCTCGTACACTGCAGAGTAGGGAGCAAAGACCCTAGAAACACACTGAGGATGTCTAAAATGTCATGAAGGTGGACCTCTAGAACAGACCAGCAGGGACGGCATTGGGAACAATTGTGGACCCTCCCCCGACCTCTCAGACTGAGTCTGGAACTCTGGGAAGCCCCCAGCTCGGCTGCAGCCCCACCACTGAGACAGATGTGCTAAGCATCAGGTTGTCCTTTCTGCTAGGTGAGGCCTCCCTAGAGGTCCTCTGTGGTCTGCATAAAGGGCCGATATGGCAGTGAACATCCACGAACTATGCCTGCTCTGCTCAGCTTTCTCCTCAACCACTCCCACACCATAGCCCAGAAGGAAACAGGCTGAAGATAAAGGCCAGCCCAGGGTCACAGAGAGCAAGAGAGGAGTTTCTTCTGTGGGAGACTCTGGCTCCCAAAACATATTGCTTTGGATAAACCAATACCTTCAAGCAGTGTTGACCCCAATTTCTAACTAGTCTTCCCCACCACTCTTCAGGGACCTCTTGGTGCCTAAACAGTTTTGTCTTCCCTATTGCAGGGTTGTCCAGAGCCTGCACCCTCTCCATCCCAACAAATACTCCAGAGTTTTGAATACAACCTTTGCCCCCCTCCCTGTTTGACTAACTAACCTTGTTTTTCAGGCCAATCTACTGATGGCCTGATTTCAGCACCTCTGACCACAGTGTCTCTCTCTCTCTCTCTCTCTCTCTCTCTCTCTCTCTCTCTCTCTCTCACACACACACACACACACACACACACACACGCACGCACGCTTTACTCAAAGTATTGGCAAACTGCCATGCGTTATTTGAGTTCCCCTGAGAAGCTGGCTCTGTCAGTGGGGTTGCCATCCCCGCATTTCAGACCCAGGCATATTTGTCTCAAAGCGTCCTTTGAGACCACTTGTCTCGGGATGCTCTCCCCCTCTCTCCCCAACTCTGTGACAGGAAGGGAAGAGAACAGAAAAAAAAAAGAAGTAAAAATATTGTATTCTAGCCGGGCGGTGGTGGCACACACCTTTAATCCCAGGACTCGGGAGGCAGAGGCAGTGAGTTTGAGGCCAGCCTGGTCTACAAGAGCTAGTTCCAGGACAGGCTCCAATGCAACACAGAGAAAGTGTGTCTCGAAACAACAACAACAATAATAATAATGTATTCTTGAGAACAGCTAGAAAGCCAAGCATTTCCAACAGAGGCACTGTGGTTTCTCCTGTAATATAAATTGCCTACAGAAGGAAGGAGCTGGAGGTTTGGCCATGAGAAGCTCAGTCATGGAGAGAAAGCTCAGTTGGGAACTCCGGCTGAGGGCCACAACTTCCTCAGTTGTGGATGTTTGCAAGCCAAGATGTGAGGTTGTCTTTCTGCTGTGATTTGTTCTTTTATTTGGA